AAATAAGTTATGCGGCTCTCCCTGCTGGTGCAGCAGGTTAAAGCACAACACTAAGAAGCTAATGCCACTTCAGCATGAGTTCGATTCCCAGCCCGGGAGGTGATCCACATGGCACAGCAGACCTCTCCTGACCTGCCCACTACTCCCCTCAGCAGTGTACTTTGTCGATCTGCCTGTTCTGCTCCCCACTCTGTCTCTGGAGAATCCTCTCACCGCTCCTGCACCTCTGGACTGTACCCCAGTTCTGTATGCACAAATAAATATATCTTAAAAAAAAATTTAGTTATGCTTCTAGATGCAAACAAGGAGCTAGAGAAAAACAAATCCAGAAAACAATCCCAGTTACATTTACATAAAAAAAAATCAAATACCTAGGAGTAAACTTAACAACAGAAGCGAGGGATCTATACAATGAAAACTATAACACATTGTTATCAATCTTGGAGAGTGCTGATTTGCTTTTCCATTTCTTCTAATATGTTTACTTGGCTTTTCCCAGGAGTCTTGAGTTCTTCCACCTGTTTTAGATTATCCTCCAGTTCCTTCACTCTCTTCCTCAGCTCATTGATTGTGTTTTTTATGTCTTTCTGCTTGTTCTTTTAGTTTTTAAGTTATTTCCATCATGGCCTTTTTGAATTCTTTGTTAGATGGAGGTATTCTTCTGTTTCCATTATATTGTCTTCTGGACAATGACATTCTCTATAGGGGTGTATTATTTGCAGAAGGGCCTGCTTGATAACTTGTGTTTTTTCTTCTTCCTGTTTGCCTTCGGCTTTGCTTTGTTCTAAGTACTCCTGTGCCTTTGTTGCTGGTAGGCATGACTTCTAATTATTCTTGGTGTGAACATGTCTGCCTGGTGTCTAAGCCTCTGTGGCTGGGTACACGTCCACATATGTCAGTTGTGGAAGATGTTCTGAGCTGTGCTTAGTTCTATGATCCCCTGTTCTTCTGGCCCCCACTACATGAAATAGGGTCTGTCTTCTCAGCCAGTAATAGCCAAGAGTCTCTTGTGGGGTCCTGCTTCTTCCAGTAATATGTTGAGTCCTAGTTTCTGGCAAGTGCCTGCAAGCAGTATCTGGATGGGCTGATTTTCTCTGTTGAACTTCCCACTCCTAGGCGTGTTTTGGCAAAATAATGGAGTTAAAAGAGTGTAGGGAGTGAGAGAAGAGGTTGGGGGAAGGGGAGGATGATGATATATCAATGTAATAGGAAGGAAGGTGATAGGAAGAGTGAAGGTTAAATGGGGGTAGAGGGAAAAGGAGGTGGAAATGGAGGGGAGGGGACAGAAAGAGAAGAGACAGCAGTAATAATAATGTTGAAGGGGAAAGAGGAGAAAGCTAGAGAAGACAGAAGGGTAAAAATGAAGGAAGGGCACCAGCTGAGCAATAAAGTAACAAAACAAGCAACAAACGCATCCATAGGTGGGGGAGAATGGCCTTTCAGACGTCTGAGGGCTCCCCGTTAGCTAGTCCCCAAGGCTTTAGGCTGGTCGGGTGTGTGTGTGGGGGGGGGTGTGTGTGGATCCTACGACTGGATAGAGTAGCCTTCTGAGAGTTCCTTTGGCTTTCTTTTTAGTTCCCTGAGAAAGTTGAGCAAGTAAAAAAAGTTGAGCAAGTTGAACGCTAGATATTTCTTCCCCCGCCCCCGCTCGTGGTATCTGGAGGCTCCGGGTAAGGACTGCCCCTAAAAGGCTCCTTCTGATGACTCTCCCTTTGGTTGGTGACTAGTAAAACTTTCTTGGATTAGCCTCAGGTAAAACCACTAGGTTTCAGGTGAATGTGGCTGGTGATTTTGTTTTGGTCAATAGGTGGCGCCAGAGACTTCTAGTAAATTTCCAGACTCGGGTTTATTCACACAGGGCTTTGGGAGAGGGGGGAGGGGAGCACCAAAATGAAGGCTTCCCGGCTAGCCGGCGCCACCGCTGTAGCACCCACTTTCCCACCTGTTGATCTTTGTAGCCTTCCATGTCCCAGGCTTCTTCTGTTGCTACGGCCAAACCCTGGCCGTCAAGCTTCAGCCGCCAGTCTCCCGTCAGCCCCTGGGCTCTGCGAGTTGAGTTGGTTGTGTGGGTGGGGGCAGGAGCGGGTGGAATTGTGCAAACCTCCCAGCAGCTGAGCTTCCAAGCTGCTTCCGGGCTTCGTCCCAGACGGGAACTTCCCAAGAGCTGAGTCTCCCTCAATTGTCCTTAAACTGTCAAATCCAGAATGCCTTCAGTGGGGCTGATGCTCCTAATACGTGTGCCTACGTTCCCTTTGGAGGCTTATCTGTCTTGTGTGCGCCTGGAGGTAACTAGCCCAGCGTCCTCACTTTGCCACCATCTTGCCTTACTCCCACATTGTTATTTAAAAAAAAAAAAAAAAAAAA